AACATGCGTTAAAAGAAAATTATTTACTATGTTAGGACCAAAGGGATCTATATGGTTAGTCAAATGTCTGTAATATATCTTTCAGTTGTTAAGGAAGCCCTTCGTAAACCAACAAGGTCCGTTCGCGATGGAAAAGATATTCTTTCCCAAACCATTACAAATTCCTAATTGAATAAAGTTATGGGTCGTATGTTACACAGTGAACAGTGTATTCTTTTGGTCATCTAATAACTCATACACGTATATCTGAGCTATATAAACAATAGCAATACCTCCATTCATCTGTGAACAAACAATACGTGCTCCCAATCATCAACATTCTAGTCAAGGTGCTCTCTGGCAAGTGCAATCTACTTCTGCGATGATTGACGTTTAAAGCTGGTGTTGTGACTCTTTTTCTTATTTTACCAACCCGTCTCGTATGACGGTTTCTTTGTCGAAAATGTTGTACGACTCGTGATATTGTAGTATGAGATACTCTTAACCTCAAGCCTATTTCATGATAACTTAATCATACATCAGCTAACCTGCACACATTCATCGTGGCTCAGATTTATTGAAATAAGGTCCGAATTGTAAACAATATTGTCAGTCTAAAACTGTTCTGTCAATTTTTTTATTTTTCATAGTCAATCACCTACTTGATATTCCATTATTAATTATTCGATACAATTACGTTATTTTTGAAACCTACTTTTCTTTTTTGATAATAGAGATATCGAGATGATTTTTGCAAAGAGATACAGCTATAAAAAATTTATCGAAAAATTCCTTTATAACAGGTATAATAATAGAAAATCCTATCGGGCAACATCACAGAGCGTTTTCGGAATAACTATTCAATTTTAAAAAGGAATTTTTAATTAAATTTTTTGTGATACGTGGTATACAGCCAACTACAAGAATTTAGTTTCCTTGTGCAGATGTAGCTATAATGAGATGATAAGATGTAGCTAAATTGCAAAAATAAGATGAAAATACATAACGTTATTTTTACATCCCGTAAGTATATTATGTTGATTGTCCGGAACTGCTGGAATTAATTGTTTTTAATGTAAATTTAGAAGAACACGCTCTCCTGACCTGTTTAGACTACAGTTTCATCACACTAAATGGTTAAAAGTGAGTCAATCACAAGGATGTTGAGAACTGCCAATAATTTGCAAGATAGTGTTGAATTGTTTAATTTATCCGTGTCCTCGTTCAAGAACAGTTTAAAGAAATTGAGACATTAATGTTATTAATACTTTTTAAAATTGTAATATATGACTACAGTTTATATGTTAATTACATGTGTATATTGTAATTTTTGTAAGGAAAAAGGGTTCATCCGTTAAATAAACAAACAAACAAGTATATGAATAAAACGTTGACATTTTTCAGAAAACGTTTTAGTAGAGTAATTCCTTAGAAACAGGCCATCAAATTCCTTAGAAATCATCATCATTCTAGTTTTACAACCCTGCGTGTGTCCTAGCCTCCCCAAGAATTCTCTCCAGTCTTCCTCCGGCAGGCACGTATTCCCATATTTCTAATGTCGTCATCGATGTTATCAAGGAACCTTGTTCTGGGTCTTCCTCTTCTTCTCCGACCAATGAGTCTATCAAGTCTAGCTGGGTCTTTTTGTTCCATCCGCATTAGTTGCCCTGTCCACTTCAGACCTCCTATCTTAATATGTTTTACGATATCTGGATATTCTAGTATATTCTATAAAATTCGAAGTTGTATTGTCTTCTTCACACTCCATTGTCATTCACTGCTCTATAGTTTTTGTTAAGGTCCAGGTATTTGAACCATATGTTAGGACTAGGCGTATTATTGTTTTGAAGAGTTTGATTTTTGTGTGTCTCGATATAATTGTGGATTTAAGCAGATTCAGTCCAAAATAGCATCTGTTGGCCGTACAAATTCTGTGGTTTATCTCTGCGGTAGTATTATTTTCAGTGTTAAGGAGCGCTCCTAGGTATACAAATTCGGTCACTGCTTTGATGACATCGTTTTCTTTAACAAGTGGTCGTAGATTTGTGATTACGTGCTTATTTTCGTATACTTCGTTTCATTGGTGTTTCTTATTAAACACATTTTTGTAGCTGAACATGATTGTCAAATTTTCAGACCTTAATATTCAAAATGGCGGCCGTGGCGCGCTATTTAAGTTTCACGCTTTTTATCAATTTTTTTTCGTGCTTCGCCGATTTTTTTTAGTACAGCGAGCTAAATATGCTTAAACAAATATCCACTATATGTTTTCCAATGTAAAATTTCCCGCTGAACACGATCCCGGTGTCAGAATTGCCATATGACGTCATGTAAAGCCACAAAATGCGAAACAAAGCGCTATTTTTGAAAAATTCATATATCAAAAACACTCTCTTTAATTTTTTTTAAATTTTTACGAAGGACTCCTTAATACAAGTACTTTCTAATAAAAATTGTCTCAGAAATCCTTTTTATATGTTTGAAGCCGCTGCTCCCTATAAGAGTCCAAAAAACGCGCTTTTCCCGCCTTTTTTAGCGCTTTTCCTTCCTTTTTCAGTTTTCAAATAACTTTTAGAGGTTTTCTGACAACGAATTTGAATTCTACGGAAAATTTTACACAAAAAATGACTTTCTTGAATTAATTTAATACCGATTCTACCGTTTTATAGGGAGCGGCACAATATTAAACGCAGAATTGCGCGCTGTAATCAATACATTTTTTGCGCTAGGATTTTATTATTTTTTTGTCTGGTACAACATGTGTGTAAAATTTCAGCTAAATCGGAGAGGGTAACCCCACCGACTTTTGTCGATTATTGCTAGAATTAACCATATATTAAACCAATAATTGTGATTTGTGATATACGTATTACTTTTTCCAGAACCAGATTAAACAGTATACAGGAGAAAGGATCTCCCTGGGGCAGTCTGTTATTTGTTTTTAAAGGTTCAGACAGTTCCCCCTGAATTCGCACTCTACATTTAACTTTTTCAAGAGTTAGTGTTGTTAAATTTGCCAACTGATTTGGTATTCCTAGCTCTTTTATTAGTTTGAACATTTTTCTTCTATTCACAGAGTCATAGGCTTCTTTGTAGTCTATAAATATGTGATATGTATCAATGACCTATTCCAGTGTTTTTTCTAAAGTTTGTTTTAGTCTTGCAATCTGATGAATTGTCGATTTACCACTTCCGAAACCAGCCTGGTATTTTCGTACTATCCGTTCTGTATATAGTGCCATACGGTGACTTAGTTCCGTGGAAAATATTTTATACGCTCCATTTAGAAGCGTAATTCCTCTGTGGTTAGAGCATTCACATATATCCCTTTTTTTGGGTATGGTGCAAAGTAGTCTAATATTCCAATCATTGAGGAGGTATTTCTTTATCCAGATTTCTTTGATCAGCTGGTGTAATGCTGTTATGGTATCGTAGCCACCTTCTTTATATAGTTCAGCTGGAAGATTATCTATTCCCGGTGATTAACTTATCCCGGATATTAACTTCAAGATCGCTGGTGGTTACTCTTCTTCTTCCTCTGTATTAAGTGCCCATCTATTAATACATCTTTACTTATTGTTAATAGGTCGCCATTTTGACTTCTGCATTGTCTTGTGGTTGTCTTGAAATATTTTCTGTTGATGTTAACTTTCGTATAGAATGCTCTGAATTATTTCTGTCTGTTGAGGTTTTCTATATAAAGTTCCTCATTTAAGTGGTTTCGCCTTTTTTCTTTTGTCTACCCTTTTTCCTTCTCTTCTTTTTGTCTGGTAATTTTCTACAGTTGTTCTAGTTCGCCGGGTAAGCATCTTTCTGTAGACTTTTGGTTCTTTTGTTCCATTCTTGCATTTATCGTGAAGCCAATGATTTTTACAGGCACAAATTTCTGTTTCTATTTCATATTTCGCTGCTGCTTAAATGTCTTCTTCAATATCTGCCTGGGCTTCTTCATTTACATTTTGATTCCTTAGCCTGTTGGTGATGTTTTCCGAATACCTTTCTGCAATTGTCGCATCTTTCAGCTTTTGCACACTCCATTTTTTTCTGTTTGCGCCTCTATAACTTCTGCGGTTTATTACGTTTGTTCCATGTCTCGAACCTATTAAGATGTGATCAGTCTGACTCGTTGTTCTCTGTTGTGTATGTTCTTGTGTTCAAAATAGGTGCTAGCGACTGTCATATTTAGTGCTGCTGTTAAGTTTATTAGTCGCAATCCATTATCGCTACTGATGTTGTATACGCTACGCTTACCTATCGTGGGCATGAAAACTCGCTCTCGTCCTATTCTTGCGTTTATGTCACTTAATACAATCGTAATGCCATTTCTGGGACATCTTTTTTCCATTATTCTCTTTTCTATTTTTGTTGTCTTCTCATATTCAAATTTATTTTCGTAGTCTTTTGGTGTTTCTGTATATTTAATTCTTCATATATATGTCATATACATTTTCTTTCCTTTATCCATTTTTTTTATTAATAATTAAGGACCCAAAAAGTTCTATTTGAAATCATGTGATTGTCTTTATGTCTTCATAGGTTCCTCTCAGTTCAAGAAAGAAACCTGTTGAATTTGTCTTAAATAGGTCAGAGCTCAGCAAACTTAGAGATAATTCCAAATGAAGAGGACATGGAGTCTTGAAACTTGGTATGAACATCATTCGTTACCAAAGGTGGATACACTCATTTCTGAGCTAACTAGGCCGTATAGATTTACAGACGTGTAAATTGAGAGTCTTCTGTAGGTTAAAACAAGTTGTAATGAAATAATTAGACGTTCAGCAAAGGCTTTTGTTATGTTTAGTCGGTTTAGTATTACTACTAAGAGATGAATTTATGTTCTGTTAAGTTTGTTTGTCCTTTTATGTTATAATCTCCTTTATAGAGTACCTATTCCATATATCAATAAGTATTTAAGATAAGTTCTCATCCCATTCAATTCCTTTATAGAGTACCTATTCCATATATCAATAAGTATTTTTGTTTGATGCAACGATGATTTGATGATTTCTTTTTTGTTTCAGATTAGAAGCGTTGGACCCAAATTGGTTCCATTCTTCAAAACCGTAGCTATATATTTCGTGATATTCATTCCACAAGATAAACCATCCATATTCAGCGTTATATTAAAATGTCTACCAATAGTAAGCCTAATGTTATTCGTAATACTCAATGGGATGAGCTTAGGAAATGAGTAAGTATAAAAATACATGTTTGATCATCTTTAAAATATATAATTTAATTTTAGATAATTCTAGTAATTTACAAAATTGAGTAAAGTTTTTATTTCGTGCATTTTTTTAGTATTGATCTATTATTGTGTTGTAACTGTCAATATTACCACATGTCATTACAAGGTAATGAAATAGCTGATAGGTTGGCGAATATTTGGAGAGAATTAAGAGTACCATAATATGATATAAAAAATGTTAGTACAGATATATTTTGTGTTACAAAGAAAGACATTTTAACACAATTCTACAATGAATGGCATTTCCAAATTAAAGATAAAGATCCAAACTATTGCAGATTGTAGTGTGATTTCGCCATAAAACCATGGGATGCCAAATGAGGGTATATGGGCAGAAATACTATAACAAATATTAACCGTTTACGTAGTGGAAATTGCAAAACTCCCTGCTATTTCTACAAAATAGGTAAAACAGAAACACCGATATGTGAATGCGGAACCATTGGAACAGTGATCCATATCTTCTTTAAATGTCCCATAAACAAACACAAAAATATGGATCTGGATTTAGAACTACTAAAAGCAGGAATAGAGAGTTCAATATTTTTACATAGAAAAATAACAAATTAAATTTAGAAAATACTGGAAATCTACTAACAAAAATTTACGTCGTTACAATACTTTGCTAAAATGCTACCTTAGGTTAGGATATATATATACCCGGTATTTAGGCGACACACGCCCTTCCGGTAGGGATCTATGGAGGAGTATCACCGAACCACAAGCCCTTATCTCTTGCCGCACTGCTCCACCATAGGCCGATCAGATACCAGCGTATTCTAGGCTAAGCCGCAGATTCATTTAGAATTTTTGACTGCTGCGTTAGCCTTTTTGTTTTCTGTACACCGAGCCGGGGATTGAACTGACATCTCTCGCATTGAAGCGAAGTAGAAGCCAGCCGCCCAGCCCGCTTGGCTATCCGATCGACTTCTCAATAATTTTTTTTGCTAAAATTTATGTTAAAAACTTTGACTTTTCTCATAAAAGAATAGTTAACTTCATCCCTTAATTTACACAGTGATTTAAAAAAGGGGCTATATTGACCAAAGCTAAGACCACCAAAGTGATCTTTGGCAAAAGAACCTGAACTTACAACCTAAATACAAGTCATGAATCTACCTTAAGAAGAAAAAAAAAGAAAGAATTGCCCATGTTTTTTTTTTGTCTAATTTTAAAATAAAAAATTTCAAGTAAACTTGTGGGTACCTATAAAATCCACAACATAATTTCATAGCCTAAAAAAGCTGAAATCAATACGTTAAATATACTCCAAAAGCAAATATCAATTTGACTCATAAATAATTTATAACGTTCATAATTGGGCCATGCCATGACCCCATAGAAATAAAACTAATGTAGGGTCATATTTTGTCTAAATTTAAAACGAAATTAGGTATTTTTAAAATAATATAGAAATATTTGTTGCACTTTAATTTAATTTAAATTAAAAGAAACTAATTTTGCACACACAATTACAACTTTTTTTTATTTACAAAAACCCACTTTAACCTGATAAGATTATTAGCGGAGCGATAACAACTAACTTCACGTTCACAGTTGTATAAAACATTTGAATTTGCAATCAAACTATTTACTACAAAGATTAAAATGGAATGAGTTCATGATATACAAAGGATCTCATAATAAAACGTAGCAAATTCTTTTACTTTAAATTATTATTGTACCAAAACCTTCAAAGTATATGATAAATAAAGTTGCATTGTTTGCTTTACAATTGAAGCAAAATCATTTTCGACACTGTAAGCAAATACTTCAAATTATATGAGTAAAGGTCTGCATTTGTTAGAGACCTATTTTTCTAAAGGTACTTACCTAAAGGGCAGACATCGCGCCCGCAGCAATAAATCTTAGTATTCAGTCCTGACCCTCGGAGGGACTGTAGTGGTCATTATCATGTCGGATATTGTCCATTCTCCAAAGATCTCTGTCCCTAGTTATTTCTTTTACCTCCTGCATAGGTATTTTGCATATTTCTATAATTTTATCGATCCATATTGTTTGAGATCTTCCCAGTGATCTTCGGCCTTCTACTTTCCCTTGGATAATAAGTCTTTCTTCTGTTTTTGTAGTCTGTTTTCTGTATCTGCTCTCATGTCCAAAGTATTTTAATTGTTAGATATGAACTTTACTAGAGAGCCGTTTGCTGACCTTTAGTTCATTTAAAATTGAATTATCTATTCTGTAATCGGTCCACAGAATTCGTAACATTCGTCTCCAACAGAACATTTCAGTGGCGTATATCTTTCTTTTTTTTTTCGCTTGTCGTAGGGTCCAATATTCACACCCGTATGTCAGTATTGGGAAGATTAAGCAGTTGATCGATCTCATTTTTAGAGTTCGTGTAATTGAGTGTAAATGAGTGTCCTTCCATATTTTCGCCATTTTTCCTACGGCAACTTTTGCTAGATCACATCTACGTTTTATTTCTTCTTGTAGTGATGCTGACCTCACAATCTCAACCTGGTCAAGCTGATATCCACTATCATGATCTTTATCATTGGTATGTTTGACTGCAGGTCAAATATATGACTTTTATTTTCAACCAGTCGTATGGATCAATTAACTATTGACTATTTGCGAAGGGCTGTGACTATCTGCAAAACGTAGGTTGTTTATTTTTCGGTCATTTATTGAATTGCCCTTTTCCCATTCTTCAAGCGCTCTCTTCATAATAACACGTGTGTGGTAATTATGGCGTTTCTAAATAATGTAAGAGCCGCAAAACGAAAATCTGGCAGAAAGCAAATATATGAATCAACAACTTTCCATTTTCCAATTAGGAAATACGTGAAGCCCGGCATATTTGGCAGCTAGTTTATGCGTTTCCAGCCGTAATTGGAGTTCTAATATTTTCCGAAACTGCATGAGTAGAAACAGATTTGGTTTCATTACTCGACATATACACACACACCTATTAAATAATGATTAACTTGATAAAAGCGACAGGTTGTCGAAAGCTGACTTTAATTTTTAATATTTTAAATAAAAAAATATGCAGTTTGGAGTATTTTACTTGTATAGGCCAATCAAGTTAGGTTTTTACTCATCACAAGTGTATAGACGGGTTTGACAGTTGAAATAAGTAGTATGAGATATTACAAAAAGACTCTCATCTAGGGATTCATGAATTTTTTAGTGGAAATATTTTTAAATAAACAATTAAAACGTCAATATCATTATTTTGCTCATAACTTATAAACTTGTCTATTTAGAGATTTGACGTCCACAGACAAGTTGTTGAGAAAAAAAAAATACACAAAATGAAATATACTAAATTAAAATCGGTTAATAAACAAAAAAGTTATTGCATAATAACCAAGCAAAACCACTGTTTTTGATTATTGTTAATTACTCTTTTATTAATCAATAAAATTTATTTAAATGTATCTGAACTTAAAGACCTTATCGTGTACGAGGTGTGTGCGAAAGATAGGCTAGATCCGTCGAATAGTTTTTGCACAATTTAATTTGTTTATAAGATTTTTTGAAAAACGCACAAATTTCTAAGGCCGGTCCAGATAATTTGACTGAATGGATCTTAATAGTCCGGGGCTTATTTTCTTTGTTGAGACATATATTAATATCCTATGGAAAAAAAAAGTTAAAAAAATTACGTTTATGTACACAAAATGATTTAACAATAAATAGCACTTTTTAAGCTTATAAACATTTACAATAACTCCGTACTATTTAGTTTAAATTAAATGGCAATAAAATATTCGGAAAGCTGGTTAAAAAACACAAATTAAAAAAAAAAGAAAAAGGTCCTGCGACCATTAGGAGCCGAGTTAGTCCTTTTTTTTTTTAATCACTGTTACGTCAATTAACAACATTAAGGGCTGAAATTAACCAATCTTTTAGAAGAAAAGTCAAAGTTTTTAACAAAATATTTAGTAAACAAAATAATTGAAAATTGATTAAACAGGAGTGTTGTAAACCAAGAGTACTTTGCGTTCCGACTCAAATGGAAGCAGTGGGGATTGCCGATTGCACTCAAGCCGCGCTCTAAAAAAGTCGAGCATCGAGCGCACGTCGAAAGCAGATGCTGTTAGGCGTTAAGTTACAACTCATTTTCCTGCGACTATACAACCGGTTTGTTGTATTGAAATATTTAGTGTTTTGTTTTATTTAATAATTGTTACAAATAGTTAATGGTAAGTAAAATTCATCTGAGTATTAAAAAAAACTACGTGTTGTGATAAATGGTTGTACCACGTTGTCTGAATAATATACGGTTAACTTTGAATATAATATTATTTTACTATTATAATGTACTAATATTTATGAAATTATTAATGAAGAAGAAAACGATACAACAGATGAACAAGAGATAATTGATGAAATGTATTTAACTGGGTTTGATGAGAATAGCGACAATGAAAATGAAATGATTTATGAAAGTTATAATACAAGTGAAATTGAAGATGAAAGTGAAGATGAATGTTTACATAGTAGTAGCAGTGACGATATAGAAATTAAGCGTAGAAAATTACAGTAAATTAAATTATTTTAAAAAATCACTACACAAAATTTCAACTTCTGTAATAACATAAAATTAATTTATTATTTCATTAATAAATTTTTAGTAAACATTATTCAAAATGTTCATTTACTTATAACATTTATTTAATATAATCATATTTGAAATAAATAAATAGAAAAATAACAATAAAAAGACGACTTAAGAAAAAGTTTGTACATTCCATAGTCATTAGCTGCTTTGTTTTGAATAATTTTGCAATGAAAGTACGTTAAATGTTATTATTTTAACGTTGTACCCCAGTTAAAAAAAAAAGAACAAATTTGGTCCACTAGAACCCGAGATATGTCATTTTTTCCAAGCACTCTATTTTGAAAACCGTGCGCTCGACTTTTTTGGAGAGAGCGCGGTTTGTGTGCAATCGGCAATCCCCACTCCTTCCATTCTAGTCGGAACGCAAAGTACTCTTCGTTTACAACACTCCTGTTTAAACAATTTTCAATTATTTTTTTTGCTAAACATTTTGTGAATAACTTTGACTTTTCTTCTAAAATATTAGTTAATTTCAGCCCTTAATGTTGTTAATTGACGTAACAGTGATTTTTAAAAAAAAAGGACTAACTCGGCTCCTAATGGTCGCAGGGACCTTTTTTTTTTAAAGTTGTTGTTTTTAAAACCCGCCTTCCGAATATTTTATTGCCATTTAATTTAAACTAAATAGTACGGAGTTATTGTAAATGTTTATAAACTTAAAAAGTGCTATTTATTAATAAATCATTTTGTGTACATAAACGTATTTTTTTAAATTTTTTTTTCCACAGGATATTAATATATGTCTCATCGAAGAAAATAAGCCCGGATTATTAAGATCCATTCAGTCAAATTATCTGGACCGGCCTTAGAAATTTGTGCATTTTTCAAAAAATCTTATAAACAAATTAAATTGTGCAAAAACTATTTGACGGATCTAGCCTATCTTTCGCACACACTTCGAACACGATGAGATCTTTAAGTTTAGATACATTTAAATAAATTTTATTGATTACTAAAAGAGTTATTAACAATAATCAAAAATCAGCCGTTTTGCTTGGTTATTATGCAATAACTTTTTTGTTTATTAACCGATTTTAATTTAGTATATCTCATTTTGTGTATTTTTTCTTTCTCAACAACTCGTCTGTGGACGTCAAATCTCTAAATAGACAAGTTTATAAGTTATGAGCAAAATAATGATATTGACGTCTTAATTGTTTATTTAAAAATAGTTCCACTAAAAAATTCATGAATCCCTAGATGAGAGTCTTTTTGTAATATCTCATACTATCCATTTCAACTGTCAAACCCGTCTATACACTTGTGTCGAAAAAACGCTTATTTTCTACTAACTTGACTCGTCTATGTAAACAATCTGTCGATTGATGAATAAGTGGAGCCATATTTTGGTCAACATAGTTGTAAAATGTTTATGAGAGGCAAACCAATAAGGCTTATCTTCAAGCGATAAGTGTTTTTGTAGCTTAAATGGATATTTATTTAAATTCATTACGCATTGGGGGAAATACAGTGATAACATTGCATATTTTGTGACAACCTTTTTTTAGTAGACAGTAATTCTTCTGTCTAATAAAAGACAAGGGATGTTACGCTAGATGGACGACTTGTGAAAAATATAAGATATATTTTATATCAGCTGAAAACCCCAAAAAAATAGTTTCCAAATATTTTTTTTTTGTTTCAGATATAAGTATTCCAGAAAAATTCTTCTAGGATTAATATTCTGTTGTATAGGTGACGCTCTACTCGTATGGAATCAATATTTTGACTTAGGAATGTTTGCGTTTATGATAGGCCACCTCCAGTATATTATGGCTTTTGGATTTAAACCATTACAAATTCCACTTGCTACAGTTTTGTATACATTAGGCACAATGGGTAAGTGTAATCGATATTGTATTTAAACTTTAAATATTTTTTTCTTTAAAAAGAGGCCGTGGTTTAGCTACATATTATTAATATAATTAAATAAACTGCTAAAAATTATTATTTTTATTATTATTATTATATAACCAACGAGGGCAGAGGAAGGAGCTCCTATTATGTCAAAAAAATAAAGAAAAATATCTTTATAAAACTAATCCAAATTCCATGAGAACACTTTTTGATTTAACAAAATCTAGAAGTATTGAAAGTCAGCAATGAACTAATAGTCCAGTCGTCAGTGATTTGACCCCTAAAAATCCTCTGAAGAAGTTGACTTTTGCCGAGAATATCAATTTTGGGACCCCAAAAAGATGCTAAAAAGTTAACAACTTTAACCCTGGGCTTCCCCTAAAACCTTCCCTCATAGGTAGATAAAAACGCAAAAAAAAACGATGAACCAAGAATCTGTACGCCGTAGAAAAAATACTTCAAATAAGAAATGTAGCTGAGATTATTCTAAATAAAAATGTTTATTATCATTAGCATTTTTTGCGTAGAATGAACCGTTCTCTTAGAAACAACACTTGAAGCGAACGGTGATGTTGAATGTCAGTTCCAAGCACGAAATAAATGTTGAATAACATTTAGTATCAACTCGACGGTATATAATCGATGTCTTTTGATCAGAGTGTCAAAGGTGAAGAGTGCAGCTTTTGTATGCAATGTTTGTATTTTGTCGCAAATGAAGTCAGTTTCTATAAAGCTGTTCAATAAATAAACCTTGCGCGATTTTTGCTATTTTTTACGATTCTCGCGAGATCAATCAAATTAATTATTTTCATTGACCGGTCGTAGTGAAATTTTCATTGTTGGAGATCAGTTTTTAAAACCTGTAACATGAAAATTTAATTTTGATATTTGGCAAAAAATATGAACCATTTGAAATATGACTCAAAAACATCTAATTTAAACTTTTATATTGCAAACGATCGCACGTCATAGGAAATGCTTTCAAGAAGACGGTTTTGCGTGTCTTCTTCTTCTTTGGGTGCCGTGTCCGTATTCAGACCGTCGTCATCATGTTTACAATTTCCTGAAACCTTTCTCTGTCGGCTGCTGCACGAAATAATTCTTCTACTGTGGAACCACACCATTGTCTAATATTACGCAGCCATGAAAGTTTCTTTCGACCAATCCATCTCTTTCCTTCCACTTTTCCTTGTATTATAAGGCGAAGTAAATGGTATTTAGATCCTCTAATTATATGACCGAAGTATTCTGTTTTCTCCTCTTTATGGTGTTTATGAGCAGACGTTCTGAATTGATCATTTGAAGAACATCTTCATTGGAAGTGTGCGAAACCCACGATATCTTTAGGATTCGTCTATAGCACCACAATTCGAATGCTTCTAACTTGTTTGGCATTGTGGTTTTTAACGTCCATGTCTCACAACCATACAATAGAATCGACCACACATAACATTTCAGGACCTTCTTACGAATATTCATTGACAGGTTTCTGTTGCATAAAAATGGTTTCCAGGTCATAAAAGCCTTACGTGATATTTCGATCCTGAATATTATCTCTTCATCAGAGTCACAATTTACATTTAACCAGCTGCCAAGGTATTTGAAATGATTTACCCTTTCTATCTCTTCTCCATTAAGAGAAAGCAGACTTGATCTATATAGATCTTTCCAACTGCCATCCACTTTGTCTTTGAAATGTTGATTTTTAGGCCTCTCCGATAACTTGCTTCACTGACTAGATTTAGTAATGTTTGGAGATCTTGTAAACTTTCTGCAAGAATGGCTGTATCGTCAGCGTATCTAATATTGTTGATTACTTCTCCACCTAGTCTTATTACAGAGTAAAGATTAAAAAGAGTGGGTGACAAAACACAACCCTGCCGTACTCCACGTTTGATGGGTATTTTTTCAGTGGGACTGTCTCCAATTTGGATAGAGGCTACTTGATTGTAATATAAGTATTTCAGCAGTCTTATATCATAGTGGTCAAGTCCTGCTGCCCGTAGGCAGTCGAAAAGTGTATTGTGTTAGACTCTGTCGAACGCCTTCTCGAAGTCGATGAAACAAACATAAACATTCTTTCAGAATTCACAACTTTTTTGTAATAGAACGCGCATACAGAATAGTGCCTCTCTAGTTCCTAGACCGTTTCTAAATCCAAATTGCTTATCACCCATCTTACTTTCGCATAGAAGGAACACTCGGTTTTGTATAATTCGTAAGAGTATCTTCAGTGTGTGACTCATCAAATTGATTAGTCTAAAATCGCTGCATTTGGTGGGCCTGCTTTTCTTTGGTAATGTTATAAACAGTGACTCTAACCAATCATCTGGTATTTTTCCTTAAGAGAGAAGAAAGTGGTTAAGCAGGCAATGCTTTCCTCATCCAAAATTTTAAGTAGTTCGGCAGGGATTTGATCTGGTCCAGGTACTTTATTGTTTTTGGCTTGCTGTATTGCCTTTTCGACTTCCGAATTCAGTATATTGGGACCTCTGTCCAACTGGTTGTCACAGGCAGTATTTGGAGCATTTTCTCTAGAAGCATCGTCAAAAAGGTCAGTGATGTATCTCTCCATTCTTTGCACTGTTGTTCGTGATCACAAATTTTTTCCGTCCGCTCTTTTAAGTATGTGAGCATTTTTCTGTTTTCTAATTCCGGCAGTATATTTAAGTTTCTTATGCAGGTTGAAGCTGTTATGCTTTTTTTGGAGGTCTTCTATTTCTTTACATAAATTCTCAAGCCAGGATTCTTTGGCTTGCTTAATTTTTCTTTTTATGCGTTTATTAATTTCACGATATTCGATAATATTTCTATTTTTGTGTTGCCGTCGAACTTCCATCAGATCTAGAATTTCTTGTGTCATCCACTCATTTTTTGCCAACATGGTAGGTTTTGCGTGTAGTTTATAGCAAAAGTTATGTATTTTTGAAAAGCGTACTAGTTTAATCAAAAAAGAGCAGTTTTAAATGCTTTAGATCGTTTGTAATGTAAAAGTTTAAATTCAGCGTTTTTTAAGCATATTTCAAATGCCTCACGTTTGTTGCCTAAACTCCAAAACTAAAATTTCAAATTTACGAAGGTATTGTCGATAGAGCAGTCGGATCAAAAGATAATAAATTTTTACCGTCGAGCTAAAAAAAGAAGAAGTGTAGACCGACTTAAGGGAAATCAAAGATGGTGTACCACAAGGGAGTGTATCAGGTCCGGTCTTGTATCTATTGTATACGTGTGACATTCCAGAGCTAGAACAAAACACTATTGCCACCTTCGTGGATGATACAACCATACTAGCGATAGGAGACAGTAGTGAAGAAGCGACTGATAAGTTGCAACTATCAGTAAATAAAATACGTAACTGGACCAGAAAATGGCCAGTTACGTATTTGGAAATGAGAAATGGAAAATGGAAAATGAGACTAAAGCTGCACACATTAACTTTACAAATAAAAAAATTGAAAATTTCCCAGTTAGAATAAATGATACCCAAGTTCCTTATGTAACATCAGCAAAATACTTGGGCATCGCCCTAGACGCGAAGCTGCATTGGAAAGTCCATGTCAAAAAGAAAAGGGGGAGCTTGATATTAGATATAAGAAATTGTATTGGCTGGTTGGAAAAAAATTCAACATTATCCATTTATAATAAATTATCTATTTACAAGTTATTAGCAAGTACTAAGGCCAGTATGGGTATATGGGTGCCAACTATGGGGCTATACCAAAGCTGGTAATCCACATTTTATCCAGAGATTACAAAACAAAGTACTGAGAAACATTGTTGATGCTGCTTGGTATATACGTAATAGCAACCTCCAAGAGGACCTGTGTATGGTAAGCAAGTCACGAGCAGAGGCTGCATAGTCATGTGAATGTGGAAGCAATCCAGCTTCTTGACAACACTGATCTAAGAGAAGATTCATAAGGACAAAGCCATTTGAGTTAGTGTAAATGGGTAACAGTTTAGTGTAAAAAGCAGAGCATAGTGCTGTGACGTTATTGCATGTTAGTTGTAGTGCATTAGTTGATAGATAAAATAAGAGTAAGCCATACGGTGAGACCTTGGATTTAAGTATTTGCTGTTTATTAATTTAGGTTAAAAAATAACTGATAATTGGTCATTTGTGACCATACAGCAGTATACACACACCGCACAGGTGTTATACAAAAAAAAATATCTTAGCTACATTTTATATTCGAAACATTTTTTTACGACGTACAGATTATTGATAAATCGATTTTTTGTGTGTTTACCCCTCTACGTGAGGGTTTTTAGAAGAAAGCCCGAGGGTAAAAGTAGTAAATTTTTTTGCATCTTTTTTAGCGTCCTAAAATTGCTATTTTTAGCAAAATTTAGCTTGTTGGTATGATTTTTAGGGGTTCAGCGGCATTTTTGTCTGTGATGACTGGAGTATAAGTACATAATTTGTAACATAAATATTTCGCACCAAGTTTATATTTGGTCATCTCGTTAAGAGATTATAAAAACATAAAGATTAGTGCAGCGCGTGGTTCTTAACAGTACCTAGATAGAAAATACAACTGAAACAAAATATCTTCCATAATATACAATATAGTGCCAAAAAAGTATACCAGACCAGCGATAAAATATGACACGATATTAATACTAAATAGAAAGACGATTATATACACTTCATCTAATTTACATACCGATGCACGTCATCGGCGTCATAGCCGTCACATGATACCAACACGAAATAGGTTATTTATGCAGAAATTTGACTTAAAATTGATTTCGATCGCCTAATTGAGATTCAAAATTGCCGGTAGTTTCAAGCGTTGTTTCTAAGTGAACGGTTCCTTCTACACAAAAGTGCTAATTAAAATTTTTATTCAAAATTATCTCAGTTATATTTTTTACATGAAAAATTTTTTTCTACGGTGGATAGTTTATTAGTAAATCGATTTCTCATTTTAAAGGATTTTCGATGCTTTTTCAGTAAAATCGTCACTTTTCCTTATAGT